TAGGAGTTCTTGTGCGTGGTCAGTAATGCCGATGGTGACAGTGCCATCGTTGTTGTCTCTTATCCATTCGTGAGATTTTGTATAGAGTAAATCATCTGGAATATTTGTGCTCATAATGTGTTCCTTACAGGAGTAGATTGTAAAAGTTGTGTCTGTGTAACTCTTAAAGGCAAGATTTACCGTTGCGTACAAAAGGTAGCTTGACGACGCGTGCAGGTAGTTGTTTGCCGCGTATTTCTACGTGACAGCTGTCGCCAGTATCCGTAGGGACTCGTGCCATGGCAATGGCTACACCTAAGGTGGGGGAGAAGGTACCGCTGGTGATTTCACCTTCACCACTTGTGGTGATAACTTTTTGATGGTTACGCAACACGCCTTTGCCTTCTAGCACGAGGCCAACCAGCTTTGATTTAGGGCCAAAAGCGACTTCAGCTTCGAGTGCCGAGCGACCTAAGAAGCTACGTTCTTCGGGGGCGAGGGCGATTGTCCAGCTTAATCCTGAAACGAGTGGTGATGTCGTCGTATCCATATCGGTGCCGTATAGGTTCATACCCGCTTCTAGGCGTAAGGTATCACGCGCTCCTAGTCCGGTGGGTTGAATGCCTGCTTCGAGCAATACATCCCACAAGCCTGCTACAATGGCATTTGGAACCATGATTTCAAAGCCGTCTTCGCCTGTATAGCCAGTACGTGCAAAAAAGATATTGTCTAATTGAACGCCAAAGAAAGGTTTTAATTCACCGACCCGTTCAGCGGCTTTGTCATCGAGAGTGGAGAGGGTTTTGGCACGTGCGTTAGGGCCTTGAACCGCGATCATAGCTAAATCGTCACGCTCACGAATGTGCAGGTCGAAGCCTTCCACTTTGCTGATGATCCAAGCGATATCGTTGTCGCGAGTGGCCGCATTAATGACCATGCGATAGAAGTTGTCCGCGAGGTAATACACGATTAAATCATCGATAACGCCTGCGTCTTCGTTGAGCATGCAGCTATAAAGGGCTTTACCTTGAAGCTTTAGTTTATCGACATCGTTGGCAAGTAGGTGCTGAAGAAAAGCTTTGCTGCCGGAGCCTTCAAAGTCTAATACCACCATGTGAGAGACGTCGAACATGCCTGCATCGTTTCTGACTTGGTGATGCTCTTGAACTTGAGAGCCATAGTTGATGGGCATTTCCCAGCCAGCAAAATCAACCATTTTGCCGCCCGCTTTTAGGTGTTGTTCATACAGTGGGGTATGTTGAGGTGCTGTTTGTTCTTCTGACATGCTAAGGATTCC